ACACAACGGATGATACTCTAACCAACATTTAAAAAAAATTTTTTTTGAGCATTCAACTCACTTAAGACAGTGAAGACAGGAAAAGATAAGAATTTTGAGCCATACAGACATGGGAATACTTATTTATCCTTTAATATTTTCTAGGTAGTACTTGGGAAACAGGAAGAGATTCTCACGTACACGTGGCTTTGCATGCAATGTAGAGATCAAGACCTGTACCGGGATCTGGAGCTGGAGTCACCGACTGTTTGGCCGTATTTGTCAGAGAGACTAAGCAATGCCTATACGTGTAATGGCATGCTTAGGGAGGAGTCAGAGCGGGAAGGAAAATTGGAAAGATGCCAGAAGGGGCTAGGAAAACAGAAAATGGTGTGGGAGGAGAGGGAACAAGGACAGTCATGGACAAAAGCACCATCTGAGAATCCTCTCCCTGTGCGTCTGATCACTATTATGTGATTTAGGACCTAGCCGAAGGCCTGTCACTGAGTTGGTATTCACTAAGTGTCTTGGGAATATGACTTATTGAAAGAAGTCTATTCATTAATTCAAAAAACATCTGCTGATTGCTCTGATATCCTAGTCATAGTGTGAGGTCTTGTTCCCCGCCCTCAAGGGATACATAGAATATTTGGAGAGAGAAACAGAATCAAACTATTGAAAGGAAAATAGGGTAAATACTGTAACAGAGAGATGAACAAAGTGCTATGGAAATGTTAGAAGGAGCTACTTGCTCTCTCTCAGAACTTGGGGAAGGCTTCACGGAGAGTGTGGCATTTGAGTTGGAAGGGATATTTAAGGCAGGTTCTGGACAGAGTCTGGCCCATTCAGGGGATGGTGAGAATGTCACAGTAGTTAGACAGAGTACACATGGACAGAAGAGGCTGGGGACACATGTGGACCTTGCAGGCCAATCTTGAAGTTTGTATTATAGGCTGGGGCACCTGGGAGGCGGTAGGACCCACATTAATTCACCCTCTGCTCTGCCATCAGAGCTATCTTCTTACGAATGTAAGTTTTATGATGTTAGTACCCTTCTTCAAAGCCACAAAGCCGCTCAACCATCACATCGTATTATGAAATATGGGTTTCCACGTGCTGATGAGGGCTTTGGATAGACACCAACATGAAAGTCTTATTGCAGAAGCACTAATATACATAGGTCATTGAGCTTCTAAGGTAGACTCAGCCCCAACTCCTGGTATAGTCCCCTGGTGTAGTCCCCTCCCAGACTGTATCGGAGTAGGTCTATGTGACCAATGGAACATAAAAGAAGCGATGGTATGTCACTTCCAAGGCTAGGTCATGAATACTTTGTAGCATATGTCTTTCTCTCTCTCTTGGATTATTTGCTCTGGGGAAGCCATATTTGCCGTGTTGTAAGGACACTTAAGTAGCCCATGGGTTGCCCCATGTGGCAAGAAACTGAGTCCTCTTTCCAACAGCCATGTGAGTAAGCCATCATGGTGGCAGACTGTCCAGATTCAGTCAAATCTTCAGACAACGTAGCCCTAACTGGCATCTTGACTGCAACCTCATGAGGCACCCTGAATCAGAGCCACCAGCTAAGCCACTCCCAAATTCCAGACCCAAAGAAATTTTGAGATAATAAATGTTCATTGTTCTAAGCTGCTAAATTTTAGGGAACTTTGTTATGGAGCAATTGATAATTAATACAGTTAGTGTTCATAAAAGTCAGAGTTAAAAGAAACTCTAGAGATTAAGTAGGGCAGGCGCTGATAATTGGGTTCAACATTTTCCAAGAAGCTTGAAGAGATTTGTGGAGCCCTTCCCCACTTCTCTTGATCAGAGATGGCACACATGTTGAGACCTCTACCATCCCTGATCCCAAGAGATGCAGTGTCGGGTCCAACCTTGCATGTCTAGTTATTGATAAGAACTCCATTTCCTGGCTGCAAGTCCAGGGCTCTTGCCACTATATTGTGCTACCATCCATAAAAATGACTTAATTTAACCTCTTTAATTTATAGGAGATATCCACCCACTTGCTGAAGATCAGTCATTCAGCTTGTTAAGAATTACTCATCTAGCAAGCAGATATTATACTGCTTAAGAAAATGAGAGATAGTTTGAATGCTAATTATGATATGCTGAATGATGGCCCCCAAAGATATCCAGGTCCTAATCCCTAGTATCTATGAATACTACTTTATATGGTACAAAGGATTATGCAGAAGTAATTCAGTTAAGGATCTTGAGACAGGGAGATTATCCTGGATTATCTAGGTAGGACCTAAATGTAGTCACAATGTCCTCATAAGAGGGAGGCAGAAGGAAATTTGTTAAAGAAGAGGAGAAGACAATGTGATGAGGAACAGGGAGAGAAAAGATGATGTGATGCAGGGCCATGACCAAGGAATGAAGCCAGCATCCATCCTGGAAAAGGTAAAGAAACAGATTTCCCTACAGCCTCCAGAAAGAATCAGCCCTGCTGACCCTTTGATTTAGTTCTGTTGTGCAAGGCAATTAATCTTTCTAGGACTCTGTTTTCTCATCTGTAAAATGGGAATAATAAAATGCTTATTTCATGGGGTGGTTGTAAGATCGAATAAGATCATTTGTATAAAATGCTCAGCATAGGACTTGGTACATGGAAACTTCTCCATAAACTTGGCTATTGATTTGGCTTAGACAGTAAGACTGCATCAGTTTTTTTTTACCACCTTTTGAAAACTCAAGTAGAGTACTAAGTAGCTGTTGGCAAACAGAAGGAATTGAATATTTATTAACTATTCTATTGTTACCATTTTATCAGGAATCCTGAAGTCTATTTGCTTCGTCCTCTCTCATTGTCCTTTCCTCAAGGGTATTGACTACAAGATGGCGAGGAAGCAAATAGAGAGAATGATTGGAAAATAACCCCTTGAATGAGAAACCTAAAGAAGATTTTGAAAGGACTTCTTTGCCTGTTATCTGTTTTTGGAGAAAGCCACACAAAACAGGTGAAAAGTTATCCTATTTATAAAGATCTCCAGAGAGGGAGTGCCCACACGCTCTCCTAGTAATTTCCCTAGGTACGTAGGAAGACCATTCTTGGTTTTCAAAGAAGACTGCACTGACAGCTGTACGTTTTTCTTCACACGCACAGAAAAGGGAATGGTTTTGTTTTGGAAAGCTGCTTGATACACAATGCTACCTGTAAGAGTCTGCTATAAAAGCAGCCATGTGTTAGGTAGCAGGCCACGTTTCTTGAGCAATTTCAGGACTAAGGAAGTTATGGAACAACGTAGCTGTATAAACTTTTTCTTTTCCTTATCCTGGGTTAAATTTTAAAATTTCACTAATTAAAAAAAACATTGTAATAATCATATACACTTATATTTTTCTGTCTTACAACTCAGTTCTCTGTAGATGATTCTATTTTCTATTTTCCAAGGATTTAGCAGTTGTTTTCTGTTGTTAATTTGTGCTGAACACACTTGCGCAGATGAAGTGCTCTGCAGTTTCTGTTATGAGCCCTAGTGGCCAGGAACAACATCTACAGCATTCTCTCGTATATCGCGTGGTGGAACTTCTTGTGCCTTGTGATTGTTTTATAATGATACAGATGACACTATAAAATGAAGCCAAAGGAACATTCTTAAAATAGGATCTGATGCAGTTGAGTCTTCATTGGATGTCTCTCCACTTACAGAATAAAGATTGAGGAATAACTGTTGTATCATCATGACAAACAACTGACGTAGTCGAAGCCAGTGATCTTCTAAAGCCCTACAAAATCCTGGGCCTGTAAGTCAGAGATGACTGTGGAAACAAATGATTCTGGCTCACTGACTTTTCATTGGCTTCTAAAGCCGGAATAAGGTTCACCCAAAAGGTTAAAGATCAAGGTCTCTTCTATCTCTGAACATGCCTCAAACCTGGACATTGGATCCCAGTCATTGAATCCCAGGTTTGCCTGCCACCATGGTTAGCAGTACAATAGAGAAGGGAGTGCATTTCTCCTAATTCGGCCTGGATGGATTGATACTTGTTGAGCTAGAAAGGTATTGCACCTGGCACAGGAACACAGTCAGTCTGAAGTCAGCTGACCAGGAGGTCATTCTTGCTAATGCAGATGCTCAACTACCTAAATTGGTAATGGAAGCAGACATCTCCTAATTGAAGTGTTGCTTGGCCAACAGAGATTGACAACTGAGGTAGCGCTCACCCCTACATTAGGGATTTACTGCCTCACTAGTGCCATCTAATGGTGGCAGTTTAACAGTAACCTTAGTAGGTCTTCTGTGACAGCTTTAAAGTCCCTAAGTATAAGCCCTGTAAAAAAATTGCTTTCCCTCATTTAGCTGATCTCATTGTCCGACAAACAAAGGCACATCCAGAAGGTGGTGTTCAACCCCTCTCCAGGTAAGTGGCTCATACCAGCTTTTTGTTTTCGTGGGGAGTCGAAATTTAGTAAATAACCTGAAATCCTCCCAGCTCACTGAACTCAGTTCACAGGTTCTAGGAAAGAAGATGAAACTTTCATTTATCTTCTCTGTACACATGGATAGATACTGTGCAAAATTGCTTCAGACAAAATCTTGTAGATTTTGATGCATTTTATCTGTTTATACAAGATCAACAATGCTTTCCTACTCTCACAGTAAACACTGAATCCTGTTTATAATAGAAAGGCGGTATCTGCGGGGAGCATACGCAGAGTGCTCCAGGCTCTTTTTTCCCTTTTCTCAGAGACGCCAGAGGAATGTGCCTTTGCATCGTTTTCCCAGTATCCTTAAATCATGATTAATTTAAGGTCCTTTCTCTCCTTGGTTAGGCCTGACACAAGCAACTGCTTTTCTATCACATTGATTTTTCTGTCCTTGCGGATTCAAAGCCAGGGTTGCATCCTAATGGGGTGAGTTCTCTGACAAGGAAGTTTTGCAACCTAATTTACAGCTGCAGTCAAGACTGTCAGCGAATGCCAGAGGGGAACTGTCACAATCCACTGGTTAAGTATGCCTTTAATAGTGTTTATCCAAGAGAGTTTGTGATTTCTTCACTCTTCCCAACAAATATGTTATTTGTAATACCTATCTTCTCTAATCCACGTGTTTAAAAAATGTCTCAAACGTGTGTGGGCTAGAATACATTTTGTTTTTCTGTGGGTACATTCATTTAACAAGGGCAGTCTCTGAGGAGCTATCAAAAACTGCCTGCCATCTTTCCAAATCATGTCTCTCCTGCAGTGACCAGGACTTAATCCTGAAGGAAAACAAGGTAATCTTTTCAAATAAACATTCTCAAGGATGTTTAGAGGGAACCCAATCACCAGTATGCAGAGCCCGCCCAGTGATTGAAAATTGTTTTATTGAGAGAGTACAATTATAGTAAGATGGAGTTTTTGTAAGCATTTGCTATTTTCAGATGATTAACAATAATAAGCTAAATCGTAAGCAAAGATGTGTGTGTGTGTATGCGTGTGTGTGTGTTCAAAGTGTCACTCGGGATCTTGTTTCTCAATGCTGTTCGTGGAAAATGAGGCACAGAGGAATTAAAACCTTTCAATAGGTGAGGGGGTTGGTGAGGAACATTGGCAATATTTGAACCTAAGCCCATTAGGTTTTCGCAGGGCTAAGCTGCTTCTGGTGAGAGTAAATAAGAGACAAAGAAATATTTGATCATTAAGTAAACAGGGGGCATTGAAACCAATGCAACTGGTCATATACAACTTAGTACATTCTTTCTAGTCTCAAGGAACTCGGCATGCAACAGAAAGAGAAAATGTAGAGTATGGATTGAATAAACAAAAAATTACTTGGATGACATAATTAAATCAATAAAGACCATGTGTGCTGGAGTCTGTCATATTACTTATAACATTATTTTTCATTTAAAAAAATTTTTTTTGCCTATCTCTTTCCCTCTCTGGTCGGTGGGCTTCTGAAGGACAAACCTCTTTTCTTCTTTGGGTCTGAAGCCCCAGTACTTAAAGCTGATCCTGCCACAAATGACAGCAGGAATGGTTGAGTGAATAAATTTGCTCTTGAGTTTGATATTTTTCTCTTTCATTGTTTGTAAGCCTGATGTTCTTTACCTATTTATCATTTGTTGTTTAAGCTGCCTGTACATTCAAAGCATCTTTTTAATATGCTTTCACCTATACATGACATAAATACCTCACTACCTTGTTAAAAAATCCTACAGCAGGGCTGTTCAACAGAAATACAACGTGAGCAATGTGTGTCATTTTAAATTTTCTAATAGCCACATTCAACAGGTAAAAAGGCTAACAGATTTGATTTAACTCAATATATCTAAAACATTGCCTTTTTTCAGGTAAATTTTTGAAATCTGGTGTGGATTTTACACTTAATGGGCATCTCAGTTCAGACCCAACTTCAGGTTACAATGCAAACTACAGCATTTGGAGTGATCAGTGAGCGTATGTGGCTGCTGTGTTGGTCAGCACAGCTCTATAGTTCAGATGAGGTGTAGGGGGCATTTCCCTGATGTGGTATGCAACCCTTGCTATTATATCCACTCTCGACCCTTTACGTTAGAAACAATCCATCAGTATTCTACCTGAAAAATGAGGTCACCAATCATCCTGATTTGCCCAGGGGTCTCCTGGGATACAGGACTTGCAATGCTAAAATCAGGACAGTCCTGAGCAAACCAGAATGGCTGGTCATCCCACATGTAACCCATGCCTGTACAATCAACATATTTTATCCTCCTGGCCAGAGTGACTGGATCAGACATAGAACACAGAAACCTGATTACCGATCATGGGATTTTTGTGGGAACCATTGGGAAAAAGAACCTCACTCTCTACTGTGGCTATTGTCTAGAGCTTCAGCTAACCTTCTTTGCACCATGAGGGGAGAGCCTGATAAACAGTAATTTCTACTTTGGAGGAAATCAGAAATAGAGAGAAACTGAGTCTTGGTGACTTTTTTGGGGGGAGGGGGGCGGTTCCTGGATCCAGCCTTGCCTGAACCTACTCTGCCCTTGGACTTCTCAGTAAGCCAAGAAATTCTTTAAACCTACTTCCATTTTTTTTTTCTTGTTCATTTAAACCATTCAGTTTGGATTTCCATCACTTGAAACTAGGACAGTCCTAACTAATAAAATAGGTACCAAAAAAGGGGTGGAGGGAAGGAGTGTAAGAAATCTAGCTGGATTTCTTCAGGCTCATAAGAAACATAATTAGAGGTTGTCTATTTTTCTTTTACACGGTCTTCTAGAGCTATTATGGGGGGTGTGTGTTCTTTTTTTGCTGCCCAGGAACAGTGGGTACCTTTGTGGCAAAAGGGGTTGAAGGTAGTGCATAGCTGCATGCTGGCAACACCCTAGGAATTAGTGGGGATTTTTGAAAGTGGAAAGCATCAGAGAGCTGCTATTTGTTTCTTCTCCTGTCTGTTCCTCTCTTGCTCTCAGACCTTTGTGCTTTGCTTGTGTTGCGGGTATTTTGCTCCATTGTAATGACTCTCCTGATGAATCATAAGCCTCGTTCTAGGTATTGGAAAAATCTAAAGGGAACGAGATTTCCAACCTGTGGGATGAGGACCCTTGGGAGGGTGTAGAGCTGAAAATCCATCCATCCATTTATCTGTTCTTAATCAATGGATGCTAAAAGTTCAATCATTAGCATGTGGAAGGATTCTAACATTTTTTGACAACTCCAAGAGAAGAGTGAGCAAGCATTCGGTAGATGTATTGAGCTACTAGTATGTAACTTAACAAGATCAAGGGCCCTATGTAAAGCAATGGACATATGTTATAGGATAACATTTAGACTTCACAGCAATCCTACAGGGCTGGCACTATTATTCTTTGTTGTTTTGAAATAGAAAAATACAACCATACATATAATTTTCTTCATTCACTATTCATTTAACAGTCTTCTTTTCTCAACTGTTATGTTCTCAATGGATTTAACATCCAGGGGAGAAAACTGCCTTACAAATATCTGGCGATTATACCATGCATGAGTATATTAAGAAATACTGCTGGACAGAAGAGGAAGAGCTCCTGACAGCAGAGGTGGGGGCGGGCATGGGGCACAGGGGCCAGCAGAGAAGCTCCCAGGAGCATGAGGCCTGACACATTACAGTTATTTTGCTCTATTGCAAATTTTTTATCTTTTTCAGGAGTGAGTTCCATTATTTTACGAGGACAAATTTTTAGTTTGTTGTTCTGCATCGTAATGATATAAGTAACAGAACTCTGAATCGTGACGCGAAAGAGCTGGGCTCTTAACTAGACTTGTTGGATTTCTGATGAGGCCTGTGGGCAAAGTCTCTGAAACATTTGGGGTGAGAGTTTCCTCACCTGTGAAGCAAGGCAGATGAGCCCACTCATCCATAATAATAGCCCTTCCACACTTAAGATGCTCGGAAGCCTTCACATGCTGCCCTCCGTTGCCACCTTTCCTGTCCTGCTGTTGAGTCATTACCTGGAAACCGCAGTTCAGAAGCAAGGCGTTGCAGCTAAGATTAAAGGGAACTCAGCTTACAAGGAAAAATTTCATCTCATTTTACTTTTACCGAAGTCAAAAGATGACCCCATGATAGCTGCTGGGTTTCTTCACTTAAGTATAGGCTAGGACTGACTAGTGAAGATCTGGCAAATCGGGTTAATGACGGCAGAGAGACAAAATTTCTCCACAGGTCTTCATCTAGGATTATCGGATTAGGAATTGACAAATAGTGAGTTTCATCCGATATTTAATTAGTATCCTGAAAGTTCCCTATACAGAAGCAAAACAAAACAATAACAAAAAAACTCACATTTTCCTATGGATATACTTTGGAAGCAGATCAAATTCTTGATCTTTGAACCTGGATTTTCCAAGAAATCAGCTTTCTTCTAGTGTTTTAATTTTGTGGTGCCTGGGAGTGCATTCATGTATGTAGTTATGAAATCAGGTACAGAGAGAGAGGGAGAGAGAGAGACTGTTGCATTGTATTCCTGAAGTTAGCGTAATCCCCAATTAAAGATAGAAATCATTTTTAAGACTCTATGAAAAAATGAGAGGATGGAAAGGGAAAAACTGTTTATTAACCATATAGGTGTACTTAGCCTCTCACACTGGATTTTTTTGGTTTCAAAAAATTTCTTAGTATGTTTCATTTTTTGATTTAAGTGAAAATATCTCATCGTTTTATGAACAAACGTGCCAGTTAGTACATATATAGAGTATATTATATTAATATGCAAAGTAATATACAGAATACACAGTATTACACAGTAATATACAGAAGACTCGATTTGGCTTTCACAAAATGGATATTTTTCCTCACTGCAGGTTAAACTTGATATTTTACTCCTCTATAGCTAAGCATGCAATAGTGTTGGCCACATGGTCGCCCAGCAGAGGGGTCCATATACTGACAGTGTCATGATGCTCTTCTAGACCCAACTATTTCTTAAAAGGACGCTGCTGCGAGGAAGTCGTCCGACTCATCCCACTCAGTGTATCAGAGTCCCGGACTTCGTGCACACTCATCCGAAGTCAACGCAGCCAACATCTGTTTTCACTAATTATTGCCTAACAGTAATATAAAAGTCTCTGGTGTTTTCCGCCTAACCTTTGCTACTTTAAATGTGGCCAGCCCACCTTCACACTGCCTTGTGATTGGCATATAAAAGCCAGTGGAAGATACCATCAAGCATTAACAACAGTGGTCACCAACATCTTCCTGTTTAGCATAACTGTAACTCCTGGTACTGCTACTACCACTACCACGTATCAGCTCAAAGGCTCCACTGCACCAGAAACAGGTGGATCTGGAAGGCTTGCCTTCCTCTCCACATCTTGCCTCCCCCCTTTCTGTCTCTTCTCATCTCCCCCCACCCCCACAGCTTGGACTTCTCTTTGCTCATGTTTTTTAGGCTCTTCCTGTTTGGAATCGATCTATATATCAACAACTTGCAAAGCCTTTGAAGGCAAGCTTTTGCACAAAGCTGCACCCAGACTAGATGCACTGTGCCACACCACTGTCACCCACCCTGTCTCCCAGCCCACAAGGCAACAGATAACCTGCAGTTAGAAATTTAGGCTTCCTTCTTCCTCCATCTAAAGGAAAATATCAGATTGGTGTGCAAAAAAGGTGGCTAGGAGGTATGGCAGTATGAGCCAGGGGACTATTGACTATGGAGATCTCATTGCAAATCCTTTAAAACATTTGCCTCTTACCGTTGTCTGTTTCCTTCTGAACACTTCCTGCCCTTTAGCACACTATTTCTGTATAACATGAGAAGGGATGATATTT